ACGGTAAAAATGAAACGTTTTATTATTATTTACGATATTAAAATCACTAAGTTCGATCGTATTTTCAGAAACTTCATTAAAAAGTTTATCAAAGTAACTCACCCACCTATGTTGAATATCTTTTTCTAAGAAAAGTACTTTTTGATTTTCATCTTTAATACACTTTACTTGAGTTAAATCTTTACTTTTATTTTCTCTTTGTTTGGCTAGTTTTTACATATATTTTTCACGCTTCTTACTATCTAATCTAATATAAAGTTCCCTAAAAGCAGGATTTTTAGCGTATCAGATTGTTCTTTTAGGCTCCCTGCTGACCGTTTGATATTTTTCCCAGTTCTCTAAGCTTTTACATTTAAACCAATTTTTATAACATAACTTCTTATATTTTATCTTTTCTTGCACATTATTATTCCACCACAAACTATTTTTATTTGTAAATATTTTTTCTTTTGATTCTCCAAGCACATCTTTTGCTACTAATTAAATAGTGTTTGTTATTTTATCCCACATCACATTTGCTTCCTCATGAATATCCCAAATTTTCAAATTTTGAATTTTACTCATAAAAATAAATTTTTTTGTATCTTTTAAGTTTCTCCATCTAATTCTGTAATGATGAGTCATAGTATTTTTTATTTTACAATTCTTAATCTTAAAATCTAAAACTAATAAACGATGTTGAGTACTTAAATTTTCACTTAGAATGACCTTACAATATTTACAATCGCGACGATCTCTTCTTCTTATAAGAAAATAATCAAATTGTGTTTTATTAGATCCACTCTTATAAGGTAAAAAGATGTTCCTCTCTTTTCTTGAATAAAATATTAGAAATAACAAAATAATACGCTAAAACAAAATCTAAAATAGCTCTACCTTCTTCATTAGTAACTCCAAAACCGTAGCCACCATGAATATTTCTAAAATCTTCTACCACTCTACCGACATGTCCATTTAAATCTCCTCCAATAAAAATTATTTCTTCAAGAGGTATCATTTGTATTAAGTCTTCTAAGTCATTCCAAAATTTATCTTTCGACCTTGTATCTAAACCTACTTGATGGATATAAACACTTATAATATTATTAGTATCAATGATAATCTTAAGGGCTATAATTCTATCACCAACTCTATTAATTTTTACAACATTATCTTTCAAACTCTTATCTATAATTACACCTACACAATTTCTAGTGCGACTCCTACCAGAATACCAAAGTTTAAAACCTAAATTGTCAATCCCCTTAGTCTTTTCTCCAACCCACTTAGTTTCTTGAATACATAAGATATTAATTTTCCTATGAATCATAATATCAACTAATTCCATTAATTTAGCATTGAGAGTATCTATATTCCAAGATACTATCCTAATAGTAGTTTCATTAGTTTCATAGACTAACTTCTTTACCCGCATTCGCCCGTAATGTGGGAACCCTTGCTTATTTACGTCTGGGAGTCGGTGTAGCGGCCCTTGCACACTTTTCACTGTATTCAAGCTATACAGCGCGTCGCTTCCAGGGGACGCCCTAGCACTTACCCAATGATCAAAAGGATTCATGTCATGATTTTTTTTCAACAAGTTTTACCCTGACTGTCGACTAACTAACGCAACTCTCCACTTTTCGCATCCGGGCTTGGGACCGGCAACGGCAAAGTTTGGATGCTACATGCGTAAATAAATAAGAATTGAGTGGTATGCATGTAAATCTTCCTAAAAAAAATTAGCTTAATCTGAAGGTTGGAAAAATGAATGAGTAAAGGTATCAAGTTTTAACACCTGGAGTCTGTCTGATGCATCGGAGCTGCCTAAAGAATGCTGGCCTGTTGACGATTTTTTAAGTAAGATTGCATTTGCAGGACAAACCTTTTCACAGGGCCTTGAACAGTCAAGCGGGCAATTCTCTGGGTCAAATTCTGGACAAGGTAACATGATAGCCCTTAGACTGAGTATTTGCAGGTATCAACTCACTATTTATCAGAACAAAATCATTCCGAGCAACAACAAGAACATTAATTTGTCAATTGAAGTTAATGTGCATTAATTTATAAACTTTGCAAATTTACAGAAGCAAAGACAGATGAAGATAAAACAAATAATGTAAATTAGTCAGAAAATTTTTACGTTGGGATCAAAAAGATATTATATGCCAAAACGAGTGAAAGTAAAATTTCTAATCATCATATGTAAATCTAACATTGAAGCATTGTTAACAAATGACAATCACCATGTGTAAGAAAATATTCCTTTTATTACTAATAATGCTGATCTTATTTTTCCATTGTTGTTTCTTTTATTAAAAATGTGTATACTATATTACACTTCATCAAATAATGCCTTTAGTCTAAAAATTATATATTTTATATTAATAATTTATAAAGTATAATCATATGTCCATGCCATGTCTTGTTATGCTTTATAGAGCTAGTTATAGAGCTAGGCCATCGTGCCTATGTCATCATGTTTGCGCTCATATGTTTTAAGTCAATCCAACCAATAGGCCGAAAATTATTTGGATATTCAAACATTAAATGAGTCAAAATATAAATAAAACTTCATGATTCATAGAATAAGGTCAAATCGACTACATTGTTGGAAGTTTCAACTCCGAAGCACCAATCATAAAATACAACAAAACACCTTTCAAATTTCAATTCTTTGGAGTGGGAGAAACATCACCATTTGACTAGTTTAATCTATTCGTGACTAGATTTTCCTTCTTATCATTCATTAACTCATTTTAGTCCATCTTTCTTTGATTTCTTTTACTTCATATCATACTCGTGAAGCCATTATTGAACTTATGGTAAGGACCCTTTCTCTGAAAAAGATCCTCAAGCTTCATTTATGGATTGATAAATAAATATTGTTAGCTTTTGGACGACTGTGGGTTTCAATACAGATCCCCTTATGGATGAAAATTAAGTTCTAAAAAGTGATAACTTTGTTCCTAAATGTTTTAAGTATCTGATTACATCTAATCAAATGACGATTTTTTTTTTCAAAATATAATTTGTAACTTCAAGAAAACAAATCAGCCCCAAGAAACTAATATGTAAATAAATATTAAAGGGACAAGAAAATTTCACCTGCTTTACGGAAATGGAGATCTTCTTTGTCGTCATTGACGCTAATCATCACCCACGGTCTCTCAATTGAACCAATATTCATTGCTGCATTTATACCATCATTCACAGCATTCACAACCGACTCATCAGCCGCACAATCAATGCAATCAACTATAAAATCCCCACCAACAAAAATGCAATGAGTCAAAAAAGGGAATTTGGAATGAAATTGCATATGATTTAGTATTCTTCTGAAAATTTGTAATACTTTCAAAACTCAGCAAACAAGAACAATAACCTCTATATTTTGTAAACAGTGACATCAAATATTTACTTTATTCCAGGATTATCTTTACTTCGACTGTTTTTCAAAGCATCTAGTAAAATGTAATGGCATGATTCCATAACAAAACTTAGTACTAATGCAGTGTTTCATAACAAACCCCAATGTGACATAAGGTGAAGATTAGTTGTGACTGATTAAAAAACCCAAAATTTCGAAATTATAATCCATTTTCACAGAGAGTTTACAAAAAAAAAAAAAAAAAAAAAAAAAAAATAACCAAAAAAAAAAACAAACACAACATCATAAGAAATCAGATTGTCAATAATGTCCTTCCATCCCTACCTCCAGCAAGAGTGTATACAAGAGATAGATTCCTAATATCAGCAGCATCCTACATTAAGAAAGAGCATTCAAAAAATGAACAGGCAGGGGTTTTTAGGGTTTTAGACAGAAAGATGACGACGATGATGACGATAGTGAAGGAGAACACAGTTTGAACTGGAATAGAATTCACCTCGAAGCTAGCGCCGCAAATGAGCTTAACCCACTCGCCGCGGCGAAGAGAATCGATCGGGCGAGGTAGAATGACGTTACGAGGGTGGATATTGACCGTGGTATTAACGAGAGCTTTGATGGCATCGAGGCGGTGAATACGCCGGAGATTATCGCCACCCGATGGAATGGTGCGGGGAGGAGGATTGGAGGATGTCATGGCGGGAGACATGGCCGGAGAAAAATGCAAGGGACTGAGTAAATGAAACGTTATCCACTAATAACAACACGAAGAACGGATTTGAATTAAAAAAATAAATAAATTTACACACTATAACACATTGGGGTGTTTGGTTAGCTCCATTTATGAAAATTCAAATTTAAGTTCTAAATTTTGTATTCCATTCATGTTAAATTCGGGTTTAATAAATTCAGCAAAAAAAAAATAGATTTAATAAATCTGAATTTAAAAAATCTTATTAATATTAAGAGTTTGTTTGGGGCAGCTTATAAGTGCGGCGGTGTTTTTGAAAACGTTGTCTAACCGTTTGGTTTGCGCATTTTTGAAAACGCTGATTGACGCGTTTGAGTTTTTACACTAAACGCAGACCGCGTTTCAGGATAAGTTACTTATCTTGAAACGCACAAGCTGCCCCAAACAGACCCTAAATCATTCATGCAGCAAAAACCCCCCTTAAATTAAACATCCTTGCCACATTCTTCGCTGAGAGCTACAACATATTGCCGCCGCCGCCACGCCTCTGCTGAGTTTTGTTGCCTCCATTTGTACTGATGAGTTTAGCGTAGTTTTTAGCAAATATTTCTAATGTACGCAAGTCAAGTCAGCTGGAATTCAGCTCTATAAGTGGCGCATGAATTTAGCTCGATAAGCTAATAAGTCAAGCTCGAGCTAGCCCTACCTCGACTCATTAATGCATAAGCCATTTCGTTTAAAAGAAATATTAATATAAAATATGCTCAAATATATATTAAATTTGAAGAATTTATTTTTAAAAAAATATTACAAATATTTTTTAAAATAATGTTTTTTAATCTTTTATTAAGTATTTTTTTATTATTTACATTCTATTTGCCATTTTATTATAAAATTTTCTTAAATTAATATTATTTTAGCTCTTGTATTGTGCGAGGTATTTTTGTGGGCACACTATATTTTTAGACGAGGTATAATGTAATATCATTTCATACCTTTGTTGGAATTTATATGTGATATTGGTTCTTTAGTCCGTCTCTTTTTATTTTTTTTTAATGATGTAAATTTCTATGTAGATCAATAGGCATTTTTGATGTGCCAAAAAAATTCATAGTGATAGGTTAAATATTTTATGTATTATTTTTGTATAAAGATTTTGTACTCAAATAGATAAAAAAAAGTATATATAATTCATGAAAATTTTACTTGTAAAATCCAAAAAAAAAAAAACATAAAATATGACTAATAAATCTTATATTGATTTCTTTGATAATAAACAAATATTTTATAATTTAAATGCATTAATAGTATTAAAAGTTAAAGTGATTTTGAGCACATCAGATTGCTCGAATCAAAATAACCATTCTAATTGAAAGTATACAAGTTTTAAGGGCTAATGTGTCCTGTAATGTATGTGGCAGTAGAGTGATGAATTTTCGTCTTAGTATAGTGTGGGGTTTAAAATATACTCGGATAATAAGAGAAAAGTAAGTAAAAAGAGATTTTATGCGGAAAACCTTGAAAAGGAGAAAAACCACGGGGTCGGCTCAATTAAAATATTCCACTGTATAATTTGAAGTATATGAGTCCATTCTTCTCCATAATGAAGAAGGATTTTAGAATTTTAGGTGATTTTAAGTGATGCTGTCATGATTCCAAATATGGAGGGATTAAAGTCAAAAAAATATCATGGTGTATAGTTTTGATTTATTGAATCGATGATAAAGAGATTTGTCATGTGGGCTCTTGGATTTGGGCTTTTGGAGTTTAAGTAAGGTGGGCTTTAAATTTGAGCATGGTGGGCTTTTAAAATTTGATTATGAGGAATTAAATTTAGGTTTAAAATTGAGCATGATGGGCATTTTAAAATTGATTATAATGGATGGGCTTGAGTTTGAAATTGTCATGATAGGACTTGGGGCATAAGCTTGGTGAAATTTGATTTGACATATGGGTTCAATTTTGGTGGAAATTGGGGCAACTGGGTAATTTTGGAGATTTTGGTCAATTTAGGAGTATTTAGGGGTGTTTTGGTTATTTTGGGATTTTTTGGGCAAATTTTGATTTTAGGGTGGATTTGAGGTAAATTGAATGGTGTGAGCATACAACCACGAAAAGCCTCCTAAAGACACATGAGCCTTGTGAGAACTCATCTTGAAGCCTCCACGTGTTGGTCTTAGTCATCCTAGCCAAGAGTCAAAGACTTAGAATAACCCATATGAGTCTTCAAAATAGTTAATGAGTGATGTGCAATGGGCTTCAAGGGGAAGATAGGTCATGTTAATTAAGATGGATGGTTATGGGTGTGTTAGGGTATTTGGTGAATTCAAATGTGTCCAAGATCAAGCCACCCAAGGTTACCATAAGGCCAATTGATCCTATGATAACTCACCCTTGGGTCTTCACATGTTGGTCTTAGTCATCTCAAGTGACAAACGAGGGTTTGTGACCACCTATGTGGGACTCCACAAGAAGAGTCAACCATCTCAGAGGTAACTTCTCATCATTGGACAAAGGCGGAACGGTGTGTTTCTTCAATCACAGGTCCTTCTCCTTGTGAGACCCGACCAACTTCACTGAGTTTTCACCCTCGGAGCCCATGTCGCCCTCCAAAGTTGGAATGACATGAAGGGGAACATGCATCGTGTGACAACCCGTTCCCACGAATCAATATAGGCAAACCCCCACACCCTCCTCTTTCTCGATCGAAGGAGGTAGGGAAGCCTCTTCTCCAGAAACCGACTCCTGAGACCCCTGGGTGTCAGACAGGGTCTCCCGGAGCACACCTGAAGTCCCTGCATCTGCGTTAACAATTCATATATATACATACATACATATAAAATCAATAAGCACAAGAGAGGAGGAATAACAAAAGAGGCGTTCCCCTTACCTGCAATGAACTTTTCTGAAGGCTCCCTCAGCAGCACGATAGGGTTGTCCCTTTCTTGTGGACTTTTATCTTGGGTCTCTTTTTCACGACCTTTGTTGTTACTTCTCTCGTTCTCTTCTTCTCTCCTCCCAAAGATCTTGGGTCATATCCCCAGAAATCCGAGACCACATAACCTTGTCGATAATATCTCGAAGTGCACGGACAATTCACTTCCTTCGAGCGTCTCAACATAGAGATGAGTGCTCTCGGGTAACGTTTTTGGTGATGGGACTAACATGGATCCCCCAACTACCACGACATGTAGCAATCATGAATTTGGATCACCAGACTTTCACCTTATTCTCAATACTCACCACCGGAAGCTTAGGACGTGACAAAAATACCGTGTAGCAGTCCCGATCGACCTTGAGGTCGAAGAAGTATGAGAACAACTCGATCGACTAAGGGATTTTGATTCGTCGAAGGTAAATGTCGAGTGTTGTTATAATGGCAATAGTGTCTGACGTAATTTGTGCAGGAATGATGTCGTAGCTGTTGAGGATAAACCTCATCTCGTTGCAGAACGACAATCTCAGTCCATACCTAAGTTGATCAACATAAACGATCGACTATCGCCAGCGATAGTCACCTGCAGACTTTTCCCCTCTTCGTTGACCTAAGTTGGACACCCGACCCGAAGGCAAACAACCTGAATAAGGCCACCATCATTTTCTCTAAAAGGGTGGATGACACCTCAAGAGAATTCATGCCAAAGAGCACAAGGGAATACCTGGGGGCCATAGCGTGACGAGAACAAGGAGGAGGTCACATAGAAGAAGAAAGAAGGATAGCATAGGAACTTGGACGTCACTCTCTCCACCTTAAAACACAAAGGAGAAGCCAGAATGTTGCAAGGGTGATATCGTACTTTCAGCACAATGCAACACAGGAAAAAGTGTTAAATCAGATGTGCATACCAATGAACTGCTAAACACGCGAATATATGTATATGAATAAATAACAAAAAAATTACATGCATTTAATTCACAAAAAAATAGAACAAATTTATGTTTATTCTCATAGTTGTTCAATCGGAAAGGAAAAACTTAATGATATTATCAGTCATCACCTCAGCTGGGGCATACCCCAACTGAGATAACTGCTTGAACATTAACTCTTCCCGCATCATAACATTATATACTCTATTCATTTCAGTGCACATGCAAGAAACCGAAACTTAATTTCGAACGACGGTCAATTCAGCTTTCAAGGATGCCACCTCTTCTTGAAGAATAGCCTCATGAGTCTGAATTGTAGCCAAATCATCCTCCAATCGCCCTAGCTGAGTCTCACAAGGACGTTCACACCGCATGAAGCCTTACGCCCCCCCCCCCCCCCCCCCCCTGGGGAGGCAAAGTTGGAACCAAGATAGATGATCCCGAAACTAGGGCAGCCATCTTAGGGCCCACAGGTTCATCACAAATTAGCTCACTATAACACAGGATCCTCAACAGATCCGGACACAGCCGCGCACCGACCTCGGAAGCCCCTCACTCCAGGACAGGGGGGTTTCAGTACGCTCTCCATAGAAAGGCTCCGTCATGCGGTCCAATTCAGGG